CCAATTAACGTCGTCTGACGCGAACTCACGGCATCCCATCGATCTCGCGTGCGGCCTCGCCACGGTCGCCCGGCGCGTTATGTCAGCTTTTTCCTTCGGGTTGGCGAGCGAAGTGAGCACAGCGCGCTTCTAGGGCGTTGCGAGCCTATTTAGGATTTTTTTATTAACTATTCTAGGAGCATTTTTACGCTCCTAGAATTGCTATAAAGGTATAATTCAGGAAAAAAAGAAAAACGTGGGAGTGTGGCCCTTGGGGTGCAAGCCAGACATTGAGGAGGCAATTAGAGTCTGAGGTCATCACCCTCCCCTTCCCTTTCCCTTCCCCTTCCCCTCCCCTTCCCTTTCCCTTCCCCTTCCCCTTCCCCTCCCCCTCCCCCTCCCCCTCCCCTTCCCCTCCCCCTCCCCTTTCCCCTCTCGTATCCTCTCCCCTCCCTATCTCCTCCCACTCCCTCTCTCTCTCTCCCTCCCTTTCTCTTTTTCACAATCTCCCCCCCCCCCCCTCTCTCTCTCTCTCTCTCTCTCTCTCTCTCTCTCTCTCTCTCTCTCTCTCTCTCTCTCTCTCTCTCTCTCTCCCTCCCTCCCTCCCTCTCTTTCTCTTTTTCACAATCTCTCTCTCTCTCTCTCTCTCTCTCTCTCTCTCTCTCTCTCTCTCTCTCTCTCTCTCTCTCTCTCTCTCTCTCGCTCCCTCTCTCCCTTTCTCTCTCCCTTTCTCTCTCCCTCCCTCTCTCCCTCCCTCTCTCCCTCCCTCTCTCCCTCCCAAGCTCTCCACCCCCTCCTTCCCTCTCTCCCTCCCTCCCTCTCACTCTTCCCTTTCCTCCCATAATCAAACACATTCTTACTCTTCCAAATTTCTCCCCATCCCCTCTCTTTCTTCCTTTTTCTTTTTTTCTCTCTCTCTATACCCTTTTCTACCCATCACTTCATCCCTAATCTACGCTTTTAGTCTGGATAATAGCACATTCGCTACGGAGATTAAAGAAATAAGAAAAAAAAACTGAAAAGAAACGAAAAAAAAATCTCCATCCGGTAATGAGAATTCAAGAAAAAAAAAAATGTCCGGAATTTGGAGTCTATCAAGATCAGGGATGTTTTTTTTAGTCCGTGATTGCGATGGGGAGGGGAGGGGGGGAGGGGGAAGGGAGAGGGAGGGGTGGGGGAGGGGGAGAGGGAGGGAGGGGGAGAGGGAGGGGAGGGGGAGGGGGGGCAGGGAAGGGAGGGGAGGGGAGGGGAAGAGATGGAAAAGGGAGAATGGGAGAAAGAGAGGGGGGTGAGGAGGAGAGGGAGAAAAAAAAAAGATGAAAAGAAGGTGAGGAAGAAAAAAAAGAAAGAAGAGTATATTTTTCCTCTTCACTAATTCCCACTGAATATTACCCCTTTCCTTCCCCTTCTCTTTGCTCTCCTCCCCCCCCCTTCCTTTTCTCTTTTAATCTCCCCTTTCCCTCCTCTCCTCTCCTCTCTCATCTCCTTTCTTTCTTCTTCTCTTTTAATCTCCTCTTTCCCTCCTCTCCCCCCTTCCTTTTCTCTTTTAATCTCCCCTTTCCCTCTTCTCCTCTTCTCTCTCATCTCCTCCCCTTCCTCTCCGTCCCGTTGTCCTTGGTGCAAGAAGGAAATCAATAGGCCTGCCATCAATACATGCAATAATGTCCAGCCCTTTTAGTGGCCTTTTATGAAACAAGCCATCGGTTTAATTGCTAATTTGCAACACGTCAGTGAATTAATGGCAATGGGGGTCGATTGGTATGAAGTCCGCGTGTGTCTTTCTGGTTGGATAATTTTTTTTTTTTTTTTTTTTTTGGGGGGGGTGAGAGGGAGGGGGAGGGATTTGTTTTTGTTGTTGTGGAAAAGTGGGAGAGGGGGTAATCCTTGTCATTGATAATCATCCTCTCTCTCTCTTTTCTGTCTCTCTCTGTCTGTCTCTCTCTCTCTCTCTCTCTCTCTCTCTCTCTCTCTCTCTCTCTCTCTCTCTCTCTCTCTCTCTCTCTCTCTCTCTCTCTCTCTCTCTCTCTCTCTCTCTCTCTCTCTCTCTCTCTCTCCTCTCTCTCTCTCTCCTCTCTCTCTCTCTCTCTCTCTCTCTCTCTCTCTCTCTCTCTCTCTCTCTCTCTCTCTCTCTCTCTCTCTCTCTCTCTCTCTCTCTCTCTCTGTCTTTCTCTCCTTACCTATATCTCTATGCATCTATTTGTCTGTCAATTTTATCTATTTATGTCTAATTCCATCTGTCTTTCCTTAATATCAACCTCTTTCTCTTTCTTCTTCATTCATTTCTCCATCCTTCATACCTAGTTCATGATACATAAAGAATTAATGTGTTGTGAAAACAGTATATATTTCAGGCAGTTGCATTAGTTCCCCATTAAATTCGTATAACTTTTCGTTTAATGGTTGATTGGCTAATAGAAGACCATTTTTCGCTGCGGATTGTCAGTTTATGTGCAATGACCCTAATGCTTTTGTTTGTTTTGGGAGCGTAACTGGGCTTTAGGTCATCATCGAAATTATTATA